GACGATATTTCGTCTTTTTATAAAGAATTTTTTATACGATGAAAGTATTCCGATATTCCGATATTCCGATATTTAAATATTAGGTCATAAATTATTAAAAGTATGTAAATATTAAGTAATATATAAAATACATATGTCTGTGTCTTTTTTTAATTAAGATAAACATACTTCCATACGTCATCAGAGTAGATTTAGTTTTAATGGAAATAACATTTCGCTGAGATTGATGCACTAAAATTTATAAAATTTTCAAGGCTAGTGCGATCGAAAGAAAATTTCGAAAACTAGCGGTAAACAGTACATTCATTGGTAGTATCCTTGGGAAATTTCATTTTTCTCATCTCTGTAGGCAATTTATCATCCTGTATCATACGTGCATACAAACCTAAGAACCACATCGGCATTAATTTAAAAAACCAGCAAAGACTCGAGATCGAAAGATCTGCCCTTTTACATTTCAGGAAAGTAGAGCATCCGGAAGAAAATAACTCCGGCGTGAATAAATGATAGGAGCCGAAAAAAGTTGGCGGGCATCCCTTCAGCCGACCAGTTGGTTGTACGTTCGCGAGGAGGAGCTGTCCTTTTAATACTTTTTGTCCTTGCAAACCCAGCAGCAGCGCTCTCCTTGCCGTCAGAAGGGTGCATGTTCTTTTTCTTTTTCTCTTTCCCTCCTTCTTTCCTCTTTTTTTTTATCCCTTGCCTGTTCGTTCGTTGTCAGCCTCTCGCAGCCCGAGCACTTTAGATAATAAGGCCAGGATGCTCGGGCTCGGACGAAAGGGTAAATTGGGTATTCGTCCGAGGAATTATCTCTCTAATTTCTTTAACGTAGCAGTCTCTCACCTTGCTCTTATGTATGCGTATAATTTTCATCGTCGCGGATCGGGGCTTGCCTCGAATCCCCGCCATCGCCAGCCAACCCACCCTACGATGCTCTCTCCTCAGGATGAAAGGGTTCATCTACCTGATGGAAAAGATCAGAAGAAGTCGAGAAGCCGCGTTAAATAATTCCTGATCCCTCCTTCGCTGACCCTTCCTGTACGCCTTTTGCACCCTTTAATCAGGCGCAACTGTCTCGTCTGCATGACCAGCGATCGGAAATCTTTAGCCGTCTTGAAAATGTATGAGGTACTGCGATTAGAAGAACTGATGGCTAATCGATTCTGTCTTGATCAGTGTTTCTGCTAGATTTTGATAGTGGTGGATCGCTTCAGTACATAGTTTATATAAAGTTAAATATCGAAATCAGTGGGAATGAACAAATTAACCAATGTTAGGTTAACGTTAACATTGCTAGGATCATCCAACTTTTATATTTTATTCTCACTCCTGTTTCAGCCAGTAAAAAGAATTTCTGATATTTTAAGAAACTTAACGTAAAATTGAACCGAGTAATCATGCACACTTTTCATATTTTGTCCAAACTGTGAAAATATTTCTTAACGTTAATAAAATAGAATTCAGTCGAAAATGATAGAGAAAACGAAGCAGAGTTACGACGATAAAATCCTAATATTCTGTTAGAAATAAAAGATATCCTAACGCATCCAGACAACGGATCTACGTACAGCTTCAATTGCACACTCTACAACAAACAGTATCTTTCGAATGCCCAGATACCGACCAATTTATCAAGTCTCCCAACTTTCGTCACCTCGTCGCATTTTACAGTATACAATCCACAAAAGGCTCATTGCCAGTAGCTACAGTCTTCCATATGGAACAAAGACAAAGTTTAGTACCTCTGAAGCGGAAAACCCTGACCAGTCACGGTTTCTCTCGTCTGGATCGAGATCGGTGAAAGAGAGCCGGCCGAGAGCCGCAGGCGGCCACACCGCGATTGAAAGAACGGCCCCAATCATCGACTCTGGAAATGCATTTTCCGTCTCTCTGGCTTCTGTGCCCGACGCCGTGGCGGC